TTTTTGATTTTGTACTTGGAACTGCAGCAAAAAGTCAACAGCCGTGGCTCTTTGTGAGGCAAGCATGCTCTCTATGCTTCGGGAGGAACAATGGAAGGCAGTGTCTGTGAGGCAGAGGAAAGAAGAGATATATGTCCTAGTCAGGAATACAAGGTCCACTGCTTATAGACTTGCTCTTGCTACCATTGTTTTAGAACAACAGGAAGAAGACATGGAATTCATGTGATCTATTTGCCTTTGCCTACTGTCTCATTTGCATCGATTACTCGAGCCTTAATCAGGTTTTGCCAGGTACCGATCATATGATTACCATTTTCGTATCTCTTTTGCATTTCCCATTAGATGGACTGGTTCATATGACAATCTTCTGTTGTCTTTCCAATTTTGCCCCTCAGTTGGCAACATATTTGTCGACCTTTGGGTCTTAGGAGGGCATAAAGGACTTTTTCTGACATTCTTTGGGTATTCAACAAGAGTGCTAGTTCTCAGAAAGAACCCAAAATATAGTGTTCGACAAGGACTTTTTTGAATTATGAAATGGTAAGATTTGATGTGAATCAATGTTATACATCTTTTTGTTCTTAAGCTTGGAGTTCTGAAAAATAAATTCAGGCCTGTTTCTACGGCTTTGTTTGGCTATCGGCGGTGTTCGACCATGGATTCAATCAATAAATAGTAGCATGACGGTTCATTTACATATGATAAAAGTACTCCCTTAATTACTAATGATTTGGTAAATAATATTAAAATTACGACATGCTAAACTTTTAATCACAGATACGAGATATGCAATTAATTTAGGAAGTTTTATGTAGCAAACCCTCGACCGCCATGTACAATCTTCACCGGAAACAAAAAAGAACCCATCTTCCCTAAACACACAAAAAAAAAAAAACACACACACACACACACACAAAAAAATAAACAACTTCAATCTCCATAAAACACCGGAGAACAGCTTGGCAGAGGTGTGGAAGCTCGGTGACGACAAGGTGGTGGTGAGCCACGTCAGCGAGGGTAGCCTCCTCCCCCGCCTCGCCGAGTGGGATAAAGTCGACAATACCGTAAATAAAATTCAATACTCAATCGAAAGCTAGATGCAGTCGTACTTGTATATGCTCGGCCTCGGTGAGTCGAACCTCCCCGAAAAATCGAGGACGCCATCTGCAAACTGGCCGTGATCCACAATTTTAAAAAATGTCCAACCGACGACGACTCGAAAATCGTCATCGTCGTGGGTGCGCGCGGTGAATATCCTCTTGGCAAGAATATTCGACGACATCGAGAATATTTGACTGATGTTGTCTCTATAAATATGTTGTCTCTATAAATATGTTCTGTCAATTGCCTCAATATTTAGAAACTTTCAGATCATGTTTATCATATGTATATATACAATATATATATATATATATATATATATATATATATATGTTTTATCAATTGCCTCAATATTAGACACCGGCACACCGCCATGTCATGTTTATATCTGAACATATTTTCACGATCAATTTCACAAACAACACGATCGGTTTTTCTTTTTATTCTTGCTGGACGGGTTTTTTTTTTTTATTCGGATTGCAAGAGCTCGATGAACGGTAGATCCAGTTTTCAAAATTTGAACTCGTGGTTCTCTGAATTATAGGTATCATAATCCGCATGTTTGTTTCTTCTTTTTTAGAATTTCCGTTTTGTATGCGTTGATTTCGGCCGATTGATTACATGAATAATATATATATATATATATATTATATTATATAGAGAGAGAGAGACAGATGGTATGAGAGATTGTAATCTCGTGGATGTTAAAAAAAAAATAAAAATCATCCTTTTTAATTAATGTTTACAAGAGCTGTATAAATGTAAATATCTCATATATAGGGATTCTATATGTACATTTCCCACTAGATACCTCAATTTTATCACAATGCTCTAATGAAAGAAAATTCATAATACATGTTGCAGCAAAATTTAATTGATGAACTAAAACACTCGATCCAAAAACATAAGACAAAATGTGTAAATTTATCAAACTAGGGAAGTTATATATAATTTTTAAATTTTTTCTTCTTCTTCTTTTCATAAATAAATATTTCGCTATATGGACCATTTTTTTGCTGATCACCAAATCAACAACAAAACCGACAACTAGCAAAATATAAGAAAACACCCCCCAAATATCACCGAAAAACAGATATTACCCACCCCCAAACAACATTTTGCAATCAGGTCCTTTCATTTTATCCTACTTCCGGCCCTCTTCCATCTCCACGGCGGCCCCGCCGTTGGGGTAGTCCACATCCCTGACAAACCTCGACCAAAACCAATGGCGCTTCCACACGACCGCCATCTCCTCTATCGGGATATTTTTCGTCTCCGGCAAGAAGAAGTAGATGAAAACGGTCATGACGACCACAAAAAACCCGAAGAAGAGGAATAGCCCGAACTTTAGGTGGCATAGCAAGGTGAGGAAGACTTGGGCCACGATGAACGTGAAGAACATGTTTACGCACACGTTAAGGCTCTGGGCTGCCGACCGGATCTCCAGAGGAAAGATCTCGCTCGGAACCAACCACCCCAGTGGGCCCCACGACCACGCAAAGCCAGCCACGTAGATACATATGAAGAGGACCACCACTGACGCATACCACTTGGGCAGCACCCCCGGTTCACCGCTCACGCCGAACTTCATGCCTATCAAGATCGAAACCACGACCTAGGGAAAAGAAAAGCATAATTGATCGAGTAAGGAGACCATCGTTACTATCATTAGCTCATGAACTACTTAAAGCTCGACTCAGTAAAAGCTCGTTCGAATCCCTTTCATAAACACTTAATTGAAATAAATGAAATTCAAAGAGTCAACTCAAAACTCGGAATAAGTTGTAGTGTCAATTTAAACATAAAACATTCAATTTGTTTTAATTCAAATTTCAAAATAATTAGTTGTTAATTAGTGTCCATCTAAAGTCAAAGCGCTTAATTCGTCACCTCAGAGCAAACAAGTAGATGTTAATTAGTGTCATTTTAAACCTAAAATGTTCAATTCGGTAACTCCAAATTCCAAATAAGTTGTTAAGTAGTGTCCATTTAAACCTAAAACGTTCAATTTGGTAACTCTAAATTCAAAATAAGTTGTTAATTAGTGTCGAGTTGAACTCAAATCATTCAATTCGTCAACAAAAAGAAAAAAACGAAATAAGTTGTTAATCAGCATAATTTTAAACCTAAAACGTTCAACTTGAACTATTTTCTTTTCACCACATATTCAAAAAGCTCGACTCAATAAAAGCTCGAACATACCTGGCATATGAGCATTTGGATGCCACCCTCAAGGAACAAAAACCTCCTCCCCCACTTATCCACACCGTAAATCGAGACAACCGTAGCCACAAGATTGACGCTCCCTGTGACGACGGCCGAGATAAGAGACGACTCGCTCCCGAACCCGATGGTCTTGAAGAGTACGGGCGCGTAGAACATAATAACGTTGATTCCCGTCAGCTGTTGGAAGAAGGGGATGGCCACGGCCATCGTCAGGTGGGGCCGGTACTTCCTTTGGAGGAGATTCCTCCATGGGTGCTCGATTTTTCGAGACGCCTCGCTGGCGGCCACAAGGTCGTGGAACTCGCCGTCCACGTCACTGACGCCTCGGATCCTACGGAGGCGGTCCCGCGCCTTTTCGTGGTCCCCACGCTCGATCATGGAGTTGGGGGTGTCGGGGAGGACGAGGGAGCCGATGGTGATGATGAGGGCGGGGACAGCGGCCCCTCCAAGGCTGAGCCGCCAGCCGAGGCTGCCGTCCAGCTTGGCGAAGCCGTAGTTGAGGACGTTGGCAGCTAGGATGCCGATGGTGATTGACAGCTGGAATCCGATGTTGAGGGCCCCGCGGTACCTGTACGGAGCCATCTCCGAGAGGTAGAGAGGCACTGACTGCATCATAATTAGCCAATAAAAAAATTAAAAACAAAATCAAGATTTTAATGAATAAATTGCTTAAAAAAATATATATTTTTTTTTGTAGGTGTTCATAAATGTTAATTTTGGAGTTATATGCTCGTTGACGCAAAAAGACAGGAAAAAAGGAGAACGCGCAAAAAGGGAAAAAGTGAGCATGTGTTATTTGGGTTCCACCGTCCACGTTTATGAAAGTGAAGTTGATATTTAAGGTTATTGTCGTTGGGGAAAAAAATAAAATAAAATAAAAAAAAAATAAAAAAATATTGATATGTGTTGTTTCTTTATTTTCTGAAAATTGTTGACAGGGACAATTATAAAGTAGTGTCGTATAAGCATTGGGGGTGCCTGCAGTGCAAATTAACAGCACCTGCTCAGTTGTGTGCTTTTATTGCCGTTGGATTAAAAAAAAAAAAAAGTAATATTTAGGTGTGTATTATGATCCAATGGTATTAAAATACACGGCACCCTCTTGCTGTTAAGTTTGCACCGTAGGCACTCGCTATCCGTCGTATAATAAGAAATTGTTATGTGATTGATAAATAGTAAACAATGATAAATGTTATGATTGGTAAAACTAGTTGTTAAGCTAGCTTATAGCGTAGAATAAAACTAGCTGATAACTGATAAGCTAGCTTATAGCTTATTAGTAATTTTCGAGTTTATAATTTATACGTTATGACTTATAGCTGAAAAGCTAGCTTATATAATAAAAGTATATGGTAAAATTAGTTGATAAGTTAGATGGAATAAAAAAATTCAACTAGCTTATTTGAAAAGTTACCTACAACAGCTTATCAAATAAGATCGATCTTTTAAAAAAAATCCGTTCTACCAAACGAGACTTATTTGAATACATGGAGTTTATAAGCTAACCAAAAAACTATAAGCTAGCTTATATGCCTACCAAACATTGTCTTATAGTTGAAAAACAAGCTTATATGATAAAAGTGTTCGGTAAAATAGTTGATAGTTAACTGAAATACAAAATTCAACGAGCTTATTTGAAAGTTACCCAAATAAGTATGAGATAAACTCGAATTTTTCAAAATAGCTAGTCTACCAAATGAAATTTATTTAAATATATAAAATTTATGAGCTAACCAAATAACCTATAAACTAGCACCAAAACATATAAGCGGATAAAAACAGCTTTTATATATATTATGCAATAATGTCATGTTTTAGTTTACAAAGTATATTATTAAATAGTCGGTTTTACTATGAAACCAACAATTAGCTCCATAATAGAACCAACCTTCTAAATACAACAAGTAAATCATACCATATTATCTGATTACTTAAATAAAACTAACGATTTTATCAGTATGGTATGATTTAGTTGTAAATAAAAAGTTAGACTTCATAGCAAAATCGATTAAATAGTATTAATGGAGTAGACTGTTAAATAATAATTCCAATTTGAACTATATTTGTCATTACTCAATGAAGAATCCGAATACTCATTTATACTAAAGTTTTGTTTGTCTGTCCACTATTTAGCAAACACAAATCAACAAAAACAGAGTGCAAATAAAAAAACCCCCAAAAAAATCCGGTTCAATCTTCCCAAAACAGGATAATTGTTACAAAAAAAAAGGAAAAAGAAAAAAAGTACCTGATTGGCAAAGCCGATGCCGAAACCGAGAAGAATCCGGCCGACGATAAGCATCCAAACGGCCTGCGCAAAAGCGTTGAGCAACGCCCCGGCGCAGAATAGCACTCCCCCTATCAGCATCGACAGCTTCCTCCCGAGCCGCCTCGTCACCCACGACGCCACCACCGACGAGCACAGCGCCGCCAGGTACAGCGACGACGTGAACACCGTCAGCGTCACGCTGTCGAACTTGCAGTACTGATTCGTCGAGGAGTCCGCCCGCTGCCTCCGGTAAACCGACGGGAAGAATTTCTCCAGAAATTGATCCATCGACGTCACGCCGCCTGTCCCATCGAAAACAACAGAATACAAAAAAATCGAACAAATTAAACAGCAAAACGCAAAACAAAAAACGAAAAGTCATCTTCAGATCCAAAATTGCCTGAAATTCCGATGTCGTAGCCGAAGATAAGCCCGCCCATGGCCGCAATAACACAGGTCACGATGACGTAGGTCGTCAGGTTGCCGGGATATTCCTTCCCGTTGCCCGGGCCGGACACAAATCCTCCACCCGCCATATTTCTGGTTTTTGCACTTTCTTAACTACACTGATATTTGGAAAAGGAAGATCCAAAAATGTGTTAATTCAGAAAATTGCTTTTTGCAGAGAAAATAAGAGGAGAGTGGACCGTATATATAGAGAAATTTGACTTAAATGCATTTTTTTTTCTATTTTATTATTTAGCTACCTTTAACAATAAAATATTTCCCCTTTTTCCCTTTTTACATAAAAAAAAAAAAGGATAATTGTTTGAATATTAGCTAATCGCAACTAGCGGTTTTGCTATGAAGCCAACAGTTGGCTCCATAGTGGAGTCAATTTTCTATATACAACAAATAAATCTATTATATTAATAAAATTATATTAGTTTTATTTAAGTAATCAGAAAATATGGTAGATTTATTTGTTGTATATAGAAGATTGACTCCACTATAGAATCAACTGTTGGCTTCATAACAAAATTCGCAAATAGTTTATGTATTAACTGACAGCCAATTGTAATAATCGATTTGGCTATCTTTCGTAATCAAATATTAAGTTACTTTTCTTGTATTTAAATAAGTTTCCTTAGTTAAAAAGTTCAAGCTTATCATACACTTATTTTTGTAGCTCGGTTTTGGTATCAAGTTAACAGTTGGCTCAATAGTGAAGCCACCTTCTATATACAACATATAATCATACCATACTATTATAATTATTAGTGTTATTTAAGTAATAAGAAAATATAGTATAGAAGGTTGACTTTACTATAAAGTCAACTGTTGAGTTCATAGCAAAATCGTTAGTAGCTTTTGAAATAAGTTCGTTGAAATTTTTATTTTAACTAGCTCATCAGTTAATTTGATTAAACACTTTTATCATATAAGCTAGTATTTCAGCTTTCATACATCTATATATATATAAAGAGGGAGTTGATGGAATTGAGGTTACTAATAATAAATGTAAATGCTTCTTTTGGAAATGGTATCAACAATATTTTTGGAAACAAATATATAATTAGTATGTTTGTCTTTTTAGTTTGATAAATCATTCATGATAATTAATTATCAATTTAATATAGAATGAGTATTTTATATGACTTGATAATTAATGATTCTCATAATTAAATTTGATTTTTAAATGCATTGTAGATGGCGATAGAATATATTTCTGAATCACAAAAGAAAAGTAAATAATCATTGAGAAAAGTAAATAATAGTGTAGATTTTGAATTGATTCTCAATATGTTTAAATAAACTAAGAAATCATTTGACATATAAGAAATAATACTTAACGTATAGGATTTATTGTGGAGACGTAAAAAATAATACTTTAGGTATAAGATTTATTGTGGAGACGTAAAAAAATAATACTTAACGTATATATTGACATATAAGTTTTTTTAGGACAAGCACACCCAAATCATTTGATACCATAAAAATATTTAATAAAGATTAATCATTGATGTAATTAGTCCTAAACATTTGGAAGGTAATCTAAAATTATACACTACCCACAATATAAGTCGTGCATATGCAAATGGTGAATACATGATAATGGTGAATGCTGACAAAATTTAAAAAATGATAAACCAAGTTGAGCGTTGTCAACAAAATAGATATTTTGTTGTTCCTCGCAGAAAAGAAACATGTAGTTGGCGATTTGGTCGTAAAAGATATATTAATCACCCCACCTGGATAAAAAAGCTGGCATGGCCGAATGAGGTAGTGACGTGACATTATAACTTTCTTTAGTTTCTTACGTGTTATATACGTGGCGTGATGTGACATCATTATCTCCAAATACACAACTACACATAGATAAATAACAATAAAATATAAAAATCCAAAACTAAATAAATATAAAGACACATCAACAAAAAAATAAAAATAATTATAATAATAATAATAAAAATAAAAAAATAGAAAAATTAAAAAAATCCAAACACAAAAAAATATATTTCGTTCTATTTCCTAAACTATATATTAATAAAATATTCTAAAACTTATAATTCGTTAATATATATTAAAAATTATTAAAAAAATAAAAAATACTTTGTTAATATTTTGTTAATATTTCGTTAAATATAAATATATTCGCTAATATATATATAAAAAAATATTTTGTTAATAATAATAATAATTATATATAATTTATTATTAATTATATTATCTAATATAGTAGTTTACATAAAATTTTATTTACTTAATATATATAAGTATTAAATATAATTCACAAAATATAAATTTATATTAAAAAATATATTTTAATTTATTTCAAAAATATATATCTAAAAAAATATATTTTAATTTATTTAAATATAAATTTATATTTATATTTAATATACTTATATATATTAAATAAATAAAATATTATGTAAAGTATTATATTTGATAGTATGATAAATTATATATAATTATTATTATTAATGAATTTTATTTTTCTTTTTTTAGTATTTTTTAATATATATTAGTGAAATATATTTATATTAAACGAAATATTAACGAAATATTTTTTTTAGTTTTTAATATATATTAACAAAATATAATTTTTTGAATATTTTATTAATATATAGCTGACAAAATAGAACGAAATATATTTTTTCTATTTTTGTTATTTTTTTTTTATTTTTGGATTTTATTTTATTTTTTCCGTTTATTATTATTATTATTATTTTATTTTTTCTGATGTGTTTTTATTATTTGTTTTTTTTATTTATTTTTGGATTATTTTTATTTTTATTTATCTATGCGTAGTTGTGTACTTGGAGAGAAGGATGACACATCACGCCACGTAGGAAATAAAGGAAATTATAATGTCACGTCATTATCTAATCCGGCCACGTCAGTTATTTATCCAAGTTGAGTGATTAATGTATCTTTCCGACCAAATTGTCAACCAAATATTTCCTTTCCGTGAGGGACAACAAAATCTTTGTTTTGTTGACAACGCCAACTTAGTGTATCATTTTTTAAATTTTGCCGGTGAATGCTTAACAATATACTTGAATCATATTAATGTCAATAAAAATTAAGCATTATTATTGGTGAATGCTTAACAAAATACACCCAAAGTTACCAAGATACTTGAGTACAAAATAGGAGTAATTCACGCTATAAATCTCATATTCAAAATCTGTGTCGTTATATTGTTCTCTCATATTCAAATCCGATGGTGGTGTTGATTTCTTGCATGACCTGCACACTCTGGAGTTTTTAAATAGTATAAAATGTTCTAGTGTTCCAAATCATGAATTGCACTTAAAGGTTGGGACTCCTGTCATGTTGTTGAGAAACATTGATCATTCAATTGGACTGTGTAATGGAACACGCTTGGTGATAACGAAACTTTTCACTCACGTGTTTGAATGCAAGATTCTAACAGGATCAAATGGTGGACATAAGGTATTGATATCAAGACTTTCCCAACTCCATCTGATCTCATGATACCCTTCAAGTTCCAATGTAGACAATTTACTCTTATGTTTTCTTACGCAATGACAATCAATAAGAGTCAAGAGCAGTCGTTATTCCATGTCGGACTTTAAATGAAAAGACTGGTGTTTATTAGTCATGGTCAATTATACGTTGATGTGTCTCGAGTCACTAATCCACATGATTTAAGATATTAATATGTGGGGGGACGATAATGGGGAAAAGAAAACTACTAAAAATGTTGTCTATCAAGAAGTTTTTCATAATTTGTAATACCATATAATATTGTACTTTTACTATTTATTCAATAATAATGTTATTTATTTGTCATTTACTTTTTATGATATATATATATATATATCTATATATATTTTAATATATTTATTAAAATATTTAATAAATATGTTCCGTTCATCGCACAGGTGAAGATACTAGTAAGCTATAAGATATAAGCTCGAACATCACTAATAAGTTATAAGTTAGCTTATCAGCTAGTTTTACCAAACATAACCTTGATTTGAAAATTATAGTATGGATTTGCAAATTAGTATTTTGACAAATAGCGAATTGCGTTTCGTAAACTTATGTTGTATTGTTACTTTTATGACATTATTATTCAAAATACTTGCTCTGTTCATTGGGATGAAATTAAAATTAGAAAAAGATTTTGAAATAGAAAATATATTTACCCAAAATGGATTATTGAGTATTTTTTTTTTTTTTATCC